GAAGCTTTTCAAAACATGCATGAAAAGTTATACATATAAAAAAAAAAAAAATAAAGTAAAATAGATGTAAAGTCATAACAATAAAAAGTCATAGATTCACAGTTAAACTCACAATCGTAAAAAAAGTATTCATAATGTACATATTGAGTAATATAATAGGTTTTATTTTTTAAAAATCTTATTGCGTAATTTGTAGTAAGTCTACAACTAAAAACTGGTTAGAACAAGTATAACTATTTTAACAATATTAACTATATTTCAATATAGTACATTAACCATTGATGACATTTATAAAAACGATAATTTAATCATTGACCATAATACACATGTACATGAGTAAATAATCGTTCTCAAATTCTTTATTTTGAATATTAGTAAATACGCACGCATTAGATCTTTACAACTAATCGGGTACTACTAATTAGTCTGATATGTACAATGAAAAATATTTTATTATATTATTATATTATATATTATATAATGATATAGCGTATGATTTCAAATTCTATATTCTATATGGGAATACCAATAACAGACATATATAAATGGACATGTAATCACAAGCATGTAACATGTTTTACAGATGCGTGCGTTTCACTAAACGTTATGTCTATAAAATAAGAAATTCGATGTCACTAGTATGTGTGCACAAAGCAATGTAATGTTGTTATTCGTCCACCGTAAATAATGGTCAGACTCCTATACTAATGATTATAAATATTAGAAAATTATATGACAAACGATTCGTATCATTTTAAAGAAAGGAAAACGGGTGAATCTTCAATTAGATTTGAACGAAATAATTAATTGTTAAAAACAGTCACGTTATGAAGAAGTAGGCTACTTGAAAATCGTATAGGTAATTAACAATTAGAATCGTAAGGGCGTGCGCCTAGTCAAGATGAGGATTACGAGTCAATTGTGTCTATCACGTACAGTATATTCGAGGCATATTCAACGGACAATGAGTTTAAGTGTAATAATAATATTAATAATTAATCCTCGACAAGTCGTGATTGGTTTTAATGTCGATTAGTATTAAATTCTTTAATGCGTATAAATATTATTCCGATTAACGTTAGAAATATTACAATCCTTTTGTTTGGGAAATGTATGACGAAACCACCTGTGATCCGATGCTCGTGCGCATTTTGCGTTGCAGTTCGAACGGAAAATCACAAACACACTCGGACGACTGGTGGTTACGTGATTTTCCTTGAGACCTTAGACAATACCGATACAATCATTGTCACACGGATGAATTTTTTTCTTTTTCTTTTTGTAATTCACATAATATGCATTTATATAAATATCGTGCGACATTTGTTCCTCGTTCATTGTATACTTTGCAAACGATTAATGATGTCGACCGCAGTGCTGTTAATAGTGACTGGTGCGGCAGCGGTGATCGCGTCCGACGAAACGACCACGATGTTCCAGGATCATCGTCAACGATGGGTAACGGATGTGCTGCACGACGTGCTGGAAATGTACACCCCGGACGGTGGACCGATGTGTAGAAGGGATGGACAGACGTACCGGCAAGGGTTGAAGGATCTCCAGCTATGGGCGACCAGGAGTAAGTTTTGATTTGTTTCGCTGTGACCGTGAGTTTTTATTACACCCACGATAATCTACCTATTAGATATACCCGGGGGTTGCGTACAAACCTTGGTATTAAAAAACACACATTACAGCAAATATATATCATGGTATCTTATTAAGTCAACGGTACTGTGTACGTACACCGTAATATACCGAGAGTTTATTTCTCGGTCGTTCTTTCATACTATTCACCGGTCCCCATGCGTATTCTATTGTTCTACGGTGCGAAACATATTATTACAGTGAACAGTACTTTTTAAACGATTTTATTTTAAAAAATTGATTAATTTGTATAATAAATAGGTGTAGGTTTCACGTGGAGAATACATTATTATGTATACGACGACCCGTATGAATCAGTAGAATGTATCAAATGGGATCGGAGAACCTGAAAGAATAACTCCAATAACGTTTCTAAAATCACTACGGGCCCTATCAACGTCTAGAATTTTAACCGTTACTGACTGACCAACTTCGCCGGGACAAAAACGATTCTCAGAAGCTTGCTTCATTTTTATAGCTTGAACTTTCAAATTTTTAAGTGATTCAGTTATATTTTCACGAATAGCTTTTATTCTTAAAGGTACAGCTAAAATAAAATAAATACATTGATTAATTTTATTTAAGTATATAACATAATTATTACTTAGAAACGGAAACTAAAAATCTAAAATTATAATTAAAAGGTATTATTATTATTACTACTACATAGATATAGGTTATTATTACCTATATATAAGAATTGCCAGCCCACCTAAAGTATCCAGAGGTGCTTTTAATTTTTACCAAATTTTTAATATTGCCTAAATATAACGCAAATAAAACCAAATACATCGGGTTTTAATTATAATCTAATATAAGTAATATAACTTCTAACTAAATTTAAACGATCGATTAGGAAATAATTGCTATTTATAGCTAAATACCGGTACTATATACTATATAGTACAATGTCACGTTGTTCTTATCTTATCTAGATAGTGATTACTTTATACTTGTATGTCTATTTTTAAAATACTTTGAGCGAGGGTATTGTCATTATATTGATTCATATAGAAATATAGAATTATATTTTGGTGGCCGGTTGAACACTTTTATTCACATTCAGCGCACGCCGCACTTAACGTGCTAATGTCACCTGCGTTAATATTCGTACAATTTATAGTATTTATACATTTTATCTTTTATGTTTAATACTTAAATTAATTTTAAAATGGCACCTCTCAGTGGATGTGCCAAAAGAAAACTAAAATTACAAAGAGAAGATAAAATGATAAAATATGGTATTATTAGGTCATATACTTATATATTTGTAGTAATGTATACGTTGATAACCATTTTATAATATAAAAAAGTCCTGGGAGGAGGGGACCCACCTAACATTGGCTTACCTAGTGAATATTTTCTGACTACGTGCCTGAGTGGAAAGCACTTATGCAATAATAACACCCTATATACCAAAGTCATATTCACTGTGATTTCTGATTCTTTTTAATTTTTTTATTTGCATTCTTAACAAAATATTAAGAATTCGCCACTTGTATATTTATAAAGCAACCAAGTATACAGGTTGTATGTAAATGCACTGTAAGCCACAATAATCTATTGAATTATCATCAATGAGCGCGTTATTTGTTTATTAAAATTGAATCGTTTTATACACGCATTTTTATTTTTAGTGTACGACGCATCAGCTAAGTTTCCCACTGGAATACTATCTGGGAAATCATATGATTTTGGTGATTACGACGAATGTTTAGAAACCAATACAACCGGTTTAAATTTTAAACCTCAGTACTGCATAGTAAACATACGTTTTTCGCCGTCCTCTAAAGTGTATCCAAATTACTACGACAACTTAGCACCAAAATTAAACCAATCAGTTTCGGCGTGGGAAGCAGTTAAGGTAAAATGAGCTCCCATAAAATATTGTAAAAGCTATCATCGCTCAAACAAATAAAAATTAATATTAATATTATTATTATTTTTTGTATGAAAAAAATTAATGGATTTATTATATTGAAAGTAGTATATATTTTTCATATACTCAAAAACAAATAGATGGTAAATTGCTTTAAAGTTAAGACCTTAATGAAATAGTGAGATTTAACATGGAGACTTCAGCCCAACCATTTTTAATTTATAACTATAAGTTGAGGCTTTGTCCCTATACCTTTAAATGATCCAAGATGATCATTAAATTATTATAACTTGCTTAATCACCCATCGGTTCAGGATTACAGTAAAAAAAAATAAATATATAAATTAAATTCTGTTTGAAACAGAAAATGGTCACGTTCTTTTAACAGTGTGTTTAAACTTAAAAACGTTTTTTCTTGTCCTGGCAACATATTAACAGTTGCATCATTTATTTTACCACAATGTTAATTTTTAGATGCAAGAATAGCAAATCGTGAAAAAATAGACAATTTTCTAAATTAAAAATAATATCTCTAAATACGTCTTTTATTATATCACTTGATAATAACGATTATTTCAATAGGATATTTGTCCGTGTCAAGATTTATTAGTTGATTATTCGCCATTTCCAATTTGTAATAAAAGCTTAGAAAATTCAATTTCAATTTTGGTTTAATCACACATTTCTAAATAGTTAAGCATTTGAAAATGTGGCCAAATTGAAAAATATTTTATACAGTTTTGAATAGTAAGCTATCTAGAGCCATGTGTGATAACTGGTAGAACTTGTCTAAAATCTACCAGGACTATAAATCCCAATAATATAATATACTCCCAATAAACTAATAAAATATTATTTCTGATAATGGTAATAGATTTATATAACCTGAACAATTTTCATAAAATACAATTATAACCTTAGTTTTTTTTTTTAAAAAATGTTTTTAAAATATTTTTATGTAACATATTATGCACCTACTACGTAGGTCATATTTGAATTTTTTTCTTTACAAAAATTATATTAATAATTAGAAGGATTTAGGTGGAAGTTTTTATCATACTTCTATAGAATATAAGACACCTAGTTATTTTTTTTCATTTAGTTGAAAAATGTAAGAAACGTAATAATAATGGTAAAAAATGACCAATGATTCATACAAATCAGATAGTAGAAATATAACTAAAATTTAAAACTGAATCATTATGAGTGTAATGACAAAAATTATAAATAAAATATAAATAGAATACTAAAAAAAAAAATATATAAATAAATTAAAGTGCCGAAAAATCAATATAACAATAAAATTTCACTGTTTTTTATATTTATAAATTTGTAGCCATATCAAAATCAATTAAAGATTCAACGCAATGAAATCAACTCTGCGATTTGTATCCCGTCAACGTGCACTCACACGGATCTCCAGTCAACGTTATCTTCTAAAATTGCGTTTGCTTTTGACGAACTAGAGATAAACACTACTGCGTTGATTCACTTTATTGCTCAACACAAAATACTGATACACCGAAAACATTAGGATTTTTCATATTTTGGTAAAAATTTATCATTATTGTTCTATAATATACATTAATTTATTAATTTTATTTATATTTAATTCAATATTAAAATACTTACACAGATTCACTAGTATTTTTATGACGTTGTAAATACAAAAAAACAAGTTAATTAACAATAGTCGTTTAATAATTTCCAAAATGTATTAAACTTTATTAACCTACCATTAAAAAATATTTTTGTTTAATGCAATCAACTTTAAAACAACAGCAATAATTTGTATTGAAGCTTTTTTACGGACCAAAATGTATCTCTAATATTTTTTATTTTGCGAAATAAAAAGTTGTCACAAAAATGTGTTGCATTCATCAATTGCTTGTATTATGCTTCTTATTTAATGAGGGTATTGTGCGTGGACTGTAAACGAATTATGTTCTACAGATCTTTAATTATTAATGGTTCGGGTATCTCCATGCGTTAATAATGATAACTTGCCTAACTCAGTGGCTAGCGCAATTAGGAGACGAGATTCGGTCGTAAATCACCGAGAAATTACACTAATATTTTTATAGCACATATATATTATTATATATATTATATTATTATTATTATGGGAAACTACCACATTAACATCCCTAGTTAGGCAACTACTATTTCGTCTTCTAAAATGAATTTTCGCAGTGTAAAAAATTTGTCCGGACGTAAAATAGCTCCCCATTCGGATATCCGGGTGGGAGCTACCCTGCAGGATGCATGTGAGAAGAACAAAACGCAAAGAATAGGAACGTGGAATGTACGAACAATGTTGAAAACAGGAAAGCTGGATAATATAAAAATAGAAATGAAAAGACTAGATATAGACATATTAGGATTATGCGAAATACGTTGGCTAGATAATGGTGACTTCTGGTCTGACGACATCAGAGTTATTCATACAAATAGTACGAAAGGACAAGCCGGTGTTGGAATTGCTTTCAATAAGAAGTGGAGTAAAAGAGTTACGAACGTTGTGACCTATAGTAGCAGACTATGTTTGGTAAAAGTAGAGTCAACACCAAACAACCTTGCAATTATACAAGTTTATATGCCAACATCAAAAGCAAATGATGAAGAAGCGGAAGAAGTGTATGCAGGCATTGAAGAGCTAATGAAACATACTAAACCACACGATAACGTAATCATCATGGGAGACTTTAATGCTATAGTTGGAGAAGGCAGGGAAGGTAGAGAAGTCGGAGACTTCGGTTTAGGTAAAAGAAATGCAAGAGGAGAAAGAGTAGTGGAGTTTTGCAGAGAAAATGGGATGATTATAACAAACACCAGATTTCAAAACCCTAAGAGAAGAATATATACATGGAAAATGCCAGGTGATATAGCCCGCTACCAAATAGATTACATACTGATAAAAAATCGATTTAAGAATCAAGTGAAATTCTGTAAAACATATCCGAGTGCTGATTGTGACAGTGATCACAATATAGTAATAGCGAAATGTGAACTCAGATATAAAAAAACGCAAAGAACAAAAGTACAGCAAGACAATTATAATGTTAGATTACTAAAGAGAGCGGAGGTTGTGGAAGAATATAGACGCTATATGGATATCGAATACCAAAAACAAAATGTAGATGATACACTGAATAAAATGTGGGAGAACATAAAATCAGCTATTAAAAAAGCAGCAAACTCTGTGCTAACAAAAAAATAAAATAAAGAACCCAGAAGAGCATGGATTGACAAGGAAATAGTAAAACTTATAGATGAAAGACGAAAATATAAAAACAATAACACGAGAGAAGGACAACAGAAGTATCGTCAACTAAGGAACCAAGTTAATCGAGAAGCCAGGAAAGCAAAAGAAGAATGGCTGGAGCAGCAGTGTAGTGAAATTGACGAAATGTTCAGAGCTAACAAAATAGATTATGCGTATCACAAGATCCAACAATTTGTAGGAGAGAGAAAACGAAATGTCACTAATATCAGAGACAAAATGGGCCAATTATTAGTTGATAATGAGGACATAATAAAACGATGGAAAGAGTATATTGAGGAGCTTTATGAGGGAGAAAAATTGGAGGAAATTACAATAAATGAGGAAAAAACAAAACTACCAATCTTAAGATCAGAATTTGAGCTAGCGCTCTATGACTTGAAACAAAATAAAGCTCCCGGGATTGATAACATAACAGCAGAACTGTTGCAATGTGCTAATATGAAGATAAAGGATGCTTTATACCAACTAACTCAGGATATATATGAGAAAGGAGATGTGCCAGACGATTACTGTAAAAGCATAATTGTAACTATACCAAAGAAAAGTGGAGCAAATTCCTGTGAGCAGTTTAGAACACTGAGCTTACTGACACATGTCTCAAAAATCCTTACAAAAATAATAAATCGAAGAATAGAAGGAAAAGTGGAACAATACTTAAAAAATGATCAATATGGATTCAGAAGACAAAAAGGTACACGAGAACCAATTCTAGGATTGCGAGTGCTAATTGAAAAACAGATCGATAGAAATAAAATCACATATCTGGCCTTCATAGATCTGGAAAAGGCCTTCGATAAAGTAAATTGGAACAAGATGCTGCATATATTACGAGAAATAGGTATTGAACAACAAGACCTACGAATCATTCACAGTCTGTACAAGAACCAGACAGCCTGCATTAAAAAAGGAGAAATTACAACTAACGCTCAAATAAAAAAAGGAGTCCGACAAGGATGTACGCTATCACCACCACTCTTTAACTGCTACATTGAAAAAGCTATAAATATAGTGAAAGCAAAGCTAACAAGATTAAATATTGGGATCAAAATTGGTGGAGAAATCGTTTCAATGATACGATTTGCTGACGACATTGTGGTAATTGCTGAGAGTGAAGGTGACATACAGCGTGCAGTTGAAGAAATGGATGAAATGCTCAGAACATCAGAAATGAAAATAAATAGTACAAAAACGAAGATCTTAGTCTGTGCCAGAGACCCAAAAGTAAAAGCTGATGTATATATTGGTAATCAAAAACTGGAACAGGTAGAAGAAATGGTATACCTAGGGAGTAAAATCACATCTGATGGCAAGAGTGTCCACGAGATTAAACAACGCATAGCATTAGCAAAAATTGCCTTTAGTAAAAAACATAAGTTGCTCACTTCAAAAAAGATACATCTTAATATCAAGAAGAGACTTATAAAAACATATGTATGGAGTGTTGCAACATATGGATGTGAAACTTGGGTAATAAATGATACCGAAAAGAAAAAATTAGAAGCGTTCGAAATGTGGTGCTGGAGGCGTATGGAAAGGATAAGTTGGATAGAGCGGAAAACGAATGAAGAAGTACTTAGAACAGTGGGAGAAAAACGTACACTCATAGATGCGATTAGAGGAAGACGCTGGAAAATGGTTGGACATGCCCTGAGACACCAGGAAGAATTGCATAATATTATATTGGAGGGTATGATAGAAGGAAAGAAAACTGCAGGACGCCCGCGGAACTCATATATAGGACAAATTCAAATCGATGCAAAAGTCAAAACCTTCAAGGAACTCAAAGAAAAGGCGAGGAATCGGTTAGAATGGAGAATTGGAGTTGTAAACCAACCTTCGGGTTGAAAAAAAAAAAATATATTATTAATCATATTCATATTTAAATGCATAGGTAATAAAAATAACATTTTTTTTTTAAATCGTAGACACTGAAACTGAATTTTTAAAACATGAGATCGGAAATAAAACCTTGCAAAGCAAATTTATTGGATCTAAGTACTGTTTTAGAATTGGCAGGTCATGCAGAAAAACCAATATCACTTCGGGAGGAAGCTACTTTTTGCGACACTTGATTGTTTATTGACTATTGATTATTTAATAGAGTAATTTATTTAAGCTGGATAATTAATAATTGTGTTTGATAAAAATAATATTTAAATTAGACAGATTAAAATTTAACTATGTAAAAAAAATATGGCATCCTTACCTGATGTCGTTAGGAAATTATAACATTTACTAGGCAAGGATATAATTTCCTTCTGCTATTGGGAATTTTCATCATTAACTAAGAACTGTCATAATTTCCTAAATGTTAACATTTCCGATAACATATATATATATATATACATAGAGTCATTATTAATTTATAATTTTTTCAGGTGTTTTTTATTTGTTATGATTATGTTCATAATCGTTGGGTCAATGTACGATTTTTACTCAAAGGAAGATTCTATGTCAAAGTGTAGTAAGTCCTAATGCTTTTACGTTAATTTAATAATTTACATTCAAGTATGTCTTACGTTTTCTTAGAATTAATCTTCGTAGCGTTCTCAATTCAATCGAATCTGAAAAAATTATTTTACAACAGTACAAAAAATACAGAATTTTCTTGCTTTTATTTCCTTAAAGCTCTAGCATGTGTAGTTATTTTGTTCGGGCATCGGATGATGTACAGTGTTTCATATCCAGTTTACAATATGAATGATATTGAAACGGTAAATCTTATACATTCGAATCCATTCATAAAATAAATTTTTACTTATATATTAATATTTTTTTTTTACAGGCATTTGAAATTCCTTTTTATGGAATATTTATCAATGGACCTATTGTAGTAGATATTTTTTTCACCATCAGTGGTTTTCTAACGTTTATCAGTATGTACAATGCACTAGAAAAGATCAAACGATGTAATGTGCTGTTAATTCTATTTTTAAGATGGTGCAGGTAATATCGTTGTATTATTCTATACAGAGGTGGACTAGGTATCAGAAGGCCAGGGGTAGTGGCGAACTCAGGGGGAGGTTAGGGGTTATATTCCCCCATTTTCTTTTTTCCGACCTATAGAAAACAACTTATTAGTTAATAAAGCTGTTTTAGAGTCATTACTTTTTATTAGTTACTAGCAAAAAGTTATTACTTATGAGTCATAAGTTATGACCCACAATAAATATTCACTATACAGACTATGAATATTGGTCATTGGCGTGCGCACGAGTACAACCTATGCTGTACCTGTAATCTGTATTAACATTTGATTCCATAAATATCGGTTTTCTAACTTTTTCTAAAAAAATTGTTATTTTTATTTTATAATTTTTTTTTTTAATTATATGCAATTTTTCGTTGTATATCTATGAATGATAAAACACGTCCCACAAAATATTCTGTCAGTTCGTTGGTAAAAGTTTTACCAACGAACTGACAGAAAATTTCGAAAAAAAGGATAAGGACCTTGGTTTTACCGTAAAACCAATGTCCTTGTCCTTTTCTTTATTATTTATGATATTATCTCAATAACTCAATTCTAACAAGGCGATTTGTGCCAATGTGTTACGACTACATCGCGATAAATAAGATTAGAATTCGGAAAAATTTGAATTACTAATTTTAGTTAATTTGATAACAGAATGGAAAAATATTCCGAATTTATTATTTTATACGAGTATATCATTTTTATTAATATGACACTATCGAGGGCGATTGCTCCTTTGCCTCCCTGGCCAGTCCACCCCTGATTCTACACCATTGTAATTATATTGTATCTCTTTGGTACAGTGAAACGTATTGCAACTTAAAGTTCATCAGTCTTAACGATTATGCACTTTTATAATCACTGGAAATAACTTGTAAAAACTTGCACACCGAAAATATATAACTAATTGTGTTACAATGATAAAATTGTTTTAGACTGATTCCAGTTTACGGTCTGATGATAGTTTTTATTGCATTTGTATTTTTCCACGTATCGGATGGTCCCATGTGGAAATCCATTGCCGTCCGAGAGTCAGAAAATTGTTTGAAAAATTGGTGGACCAACGTGTTGTTCGTAAACAATTACGTTGACACGGAACACCCAGTGAGTATATAGATAGTACACCGGCGTGAAACATACTATTCAGTGCAATGCAAAAAACGTCGATGATTATTGAATATCAACTTTTGCGGTGTAATTGTAGTGCGTAATGCAGTCTTGGTATCTGGCGTGCGATTTGCACATGTGTGCCCTGGGCGTATCGATGGTATACCTAGTCTGGAAATATCCAAAATGCGAAAAAATTGCTCTGCTGACCGCTATACTCGCGTCCTGTTTCGCTTCGGCCTATATCGTATATCAACATAATTACTATCCAACGTTTATTGGTTTCATTAAGTAAGTGAATATTTCGTAATAATAATAATAATAATCATGTGTACTACGTGTTCAATGCGCCCAATATTTCAATTAAAATATCCAAGCATTTTTGACGTAACTAAAAAAACTCGCGCGGAGTGTCTAAACACTGCACCGTAATCTAAAATTATATTAATCAGAATACAATTATCTGCACAGAAATCATAACACATATATAGTAAAATTACAAAAACAATTGTTTGGGTCCTATTTTTACATTATTATTCAAAAAATAAAAAATAATAATAATAACATAACAACTATGTACCAAGACGCGTTTTAAAAACATGTTTTACCCCGTACCCAAAATATTTGTTGAACATTTTAAATA